AGGTTGCATTTTGGAGCGAGTTTATCCCCAAGCTTACTAGAAAGAAAAACGAGACTCCTCTAAATGAAGGAAAGCACCAACAACAACACAAAGAGGAACTCTGACTGAATGAAAATCGAGACTCCGCTAAGCGATGAAAGAATAAGTAAACCCACAAAGAGGAATTCTACTGATGCCTCCATTAGTCAAACTTATATATCACAGTAACTAGAAAGATACAATAGCAAAATTAAAAAGATGAAGAGTTATATTCCTTATTTGATTTGTAAATCTCAGAGTTTTGTCTGCCAAGGAAAGGGGTTTCTGGGATCCTYAGAAACACCCCTGGAATTACGCCGTAATTTATTTTTTTCTGATCTCAAGATGTAGTTAGTAGTATATTGTAGGCATGGTAAACCAGCCAATAAGGATCGCCATGATCATGGTTTATTGGGCTCTCAGTGTTTTAATTTGTTTTGTTTTAAATTATATTCTATTGTGTTTTATTAAGTGTCCATATTAACTTTATGCTGTTCATTAATAGCGAAAAAATGGAGAAAGAAAAAAAGGAAAGCAATGCTATTCACATAAGTTGTTTGTTTTTATATTAGTAATAAATTTTATAGTAAAAATGCTTTTCACGCAGGAATATTCCTAGATGAATAGTGAAGCATTGATATAGAAGTGGGTAATCTTGTTGTTGACATCGCTGCCACGGCGCCACCTATCACCGACAGTAACTGCACTATCATAGAGCGGATTTCGTATGACTGTGCAAAAAAAACACGGTACGTTCGTGCTGTGTCCGTACCGTGCCGTAGCCGTGATGCATTGAAAAATCTTTACTTTCATTTGAAATCCTAGAAGRCGAGGTTCCGTGACCGTGCCGTGCCCGTGTTGTGATCCGTGCTTTTGCACAGTCATACGAAATCCGCTCTAAGATATATTATATACAGYAGTTAGTACTAATAGTATGTGTAATAGTRATGTTGACGTCACTTTATATTYGACTTTGAGATCAATCAGAAAACCTCTGACTTGAAAGAAAAATGAAAATGATACGCGTTGCATTTAATACCTCGTGCCCCCGGCCTATGGACTGGGCACGTSTATAGATGAAAAACTACTTTATTTTAGAGCAGTWTMACGACCAAGCCACATTTAAACCAGCTTTTGACGTTGCAGCATAAAGTATTCGACTGTATAGGACTGGCTTTTGTCTTTYATTGTGATTTTACGACGACTCTGAATAAATTCAGAATATTTCACGCATTGGAAGACTTGCGTGACGAAACACGGCTTCAAGTTTATAATCCTACCAAAACCAGAATTAGGTGACAATTACTGTTTGTTTAAGTTCCAATAGCTTCTTTGAGCTTTTAGCGACATTTGGTAGTAATTGTAAACATGAAGCCTTGTATCATACAATTGTACTTGTGCTTTTGCGTTCAACTTTTTCTACATTCGAGCTGTTTCAGTGAAGATGATTCTTTAGTTGTTAAGACTCCTCTTGGATCTGTTCGAGGTCAACTACAAGCAGTTACCGGAGGTTATTCAGTTCGACAATTCCTAGGCATTCCTTATGCTCAGCCTCCAGTTGGTGCCTTGCGGTTTGCTAGACCAAAGCCAGCTCTGCCATGGAATGGAGTAAGAGATGCATTGGAGTTTGGTCCTATTTGCCCTCAAACAAATTTGAAGGCCGTGTTTGAAGAAGATAATACGGGGGACTCGAGAAATGATACGGGAGGAGTAGATGAAGGTATTAGCTGTTATGTATTGGACACTATTGAATGATTCATTGTTAGAGTATTATCGAATGTTTGACAGCATGCATAGAGGTACATGAGACAACGTTTTTTGAAAATTCGTCACCACAACTGAAACTAACACTGTTGAAAGTTTGTTCAGTCACACATTTTTTCGAGACGAAATCAAAATTTCGGGGCTGTATATTCTTGTAAGCTACTGTCTTATATAGCGAGTACAGTGCGAAGAACTTAACAAAACCGTGACCGCGGCCAAGTATGTTATTCCAGAATTGTATTCGAAGTTGCTTCTAATTTCGTAAGATTACCAAGTATGAATTCGGCATTACAAGGTAGTAACCGTTATAGGATTTTATTTCATTTTTTCGGTTTTATCGCTCTTTTTTAAGTGGTCGACCGAGGCGATCAAGATGTCGAGTATTCATTTTCCCTTTCGATCTTAATAGGTTTATTAGCATATTAAAATATACTAATAAACCTCTAGGAACGATTGCATGACCTATATTGACCTTGTCAATGAAAACAAAAAATAGTTGATTATTTAGTTGATCAATTCAAATTCAACTACAATTTATATTGTTCAATGAGAAGTTTGATGAAGTGTTTCATTATTAAGTTAATTAATAATAATAATAATAATAATAATAATAATAATAATAATAATAATAATAATAATAATAATAATAATAATCTAAGCTTATATAGCGCTTATATAACTTTTTCTAAGCGCAAATAAAAAGGTATAAGAATTAAAATAAAAAGTTACAGTAGAGTTACAGATTATAAGTTTGTTTTAATAGGTAGATTTTAAGAGCAGCTTTAAAGTTATCCAGTGAAGAAATGTCTCTAACTAAAGATGGGAGTGAATTCCATACAAAAAGGATCAGCAACACTAAAAGAACGACAACCATAACTTTTAAGATTGTTAAGGTCGAGTGAATCTATTCGTTATCTTGGGTCTCCTGCGTAAATAATTAGGAGCCTTTTTTCGTTCTCAGTCTCCTGTCTGCTCTAGATCTCAGTCAGTCAGTAGTTTTACAAACCTGGTATGATTTTTATGATTCTGGCTTAGTTCCTCAGGGTGAAGACTGTTTGAGCCTCAATGTCTACACTCCATCAAGAGCTACTGGTAATGACAAGCTATCTGTCATGGTTTGGATTCATGGAGGCGGATTCGCTTTTGGCGCCGGGCGAACCTACAATCCATCTTTACTTGTTGCTTTACATAATATTGTAGTAGTAACGATYAACTATAGGCTGGCTGTGCTGGGGTTCTTTAACATTCCCGGTACAGATATCAAGGGAAATTTTGGGATGCACGACCAGGTATTTTGCAAATATAGTTAACTCTCTTTGAACGACCACTCTCGTAAGCGACCATCTCCCGTAAGCGAGCACCTTTTAAATTTCCCGTTTGGTTTCCCATATAAAATCTGTAAAAAAAAGCTCTCCCGTAGGCGACCACTCTTGTAGGCGACCTCGACCACCTTTGGGGTTGAAATTGTATAATTTTTCATTGTTTTCCTCTCCCGTAAGCGACCACCCTCGACTGACGCAGTAAAAGCGTGTATTTAATTTACTTACAAAGCTTACACAAATTACATTTCCGGTTACTTCTAGTGTTCTAGAGTACACCGTAAAAGCGTACTATTTAGTATCAAATACATATATATAATATCAAAGAGGCAAGATTTTGCTGTAACTCCGAGTTTCGTGCTACGCACTCATCAGACAGTATTTAATGGGATCAGCTACTTCTTCATACAATTAGTATCAAATACATTATAGTGTTAGTTATATCATAGAAAACAATAGAATTAGGATAATAATCAACTTCAAGAATTTGAGGAATAGCATGGAAGCAKTATAATTGCTCAAAGATTTTATTCACTAAATACGAACAACGTGTTTTGAATTATTTGGGCCTCCTGTGTTGTGATTATCATTGTTTGGGTTTCCTGTGCTAACGTTCTCGTAAGCGACCATCTCTCGTAAGCGACCATTTTTACCTGATCCCGAGGTGGTCGCTYACGAGAGAGTTGACTGTAGACTTCTGAAGCTTTTACGTCACCTACGTGATTTGAAATGCATTGTGAGATCAGTTTCTGGAGAAAAGTAGGCAGATGGTATTAAAGGAGAACTCCACTTTACTTTAACCCTATAGTTATTTCATTAATCGAAGTTCCATCTCAAAGATTATCAACGACAAGAGAGAAATATGCGTTGAAATTAGAGAAAATTACTGACTACGGACATGAATGCCGCCATCTTTGCAGGCTCATATTTCAGCGGTGACTACCATGGGGAAGTAATTGCGCAAAATTAAGTTCAAAACAAAGTGTTTGTTTGCAATTTCCTTAGTTTAGATATTTTAGTACTTTAAACGAACTTTTGATAAGAAAAATGCTACACTGCATGGTACCAGGATCATCAATATAAATGGATCCAAAAAGACAAAAGGGACAGGAATTCATACTTATAAAACAATAAATTTTCCCCCTGATAAGTGAGAGGTTCTTTGTTATGCTAACATGAACCGCGCAATTACGTCACTGGTAGTCACCGCTGATATATGAGCCTGCCAAGATGGCGGCATTCATGTCGGTAATTTTTTCTAGTTTCAACGCATATTTCTCTCTTTTCGTTGAAGATGCGCCAAAATCCCTTGGTAATCTTTGAGAAAGAACTTCGATTAATCAAATAACTATAGGATTAAGGTAGAGTAGAGTTCTCCTTTAAATGCATCATCGCCTTGAAAATCTATATATATGATTTATAAATCTTCTTTGGATATGTTCAGGTCGAGGCCCTCAAGTGGGTTCAGAAGAACATTGCATCATTTGGTGGCAATCCTGAYCAAGTGACCATATTTGGAGAAAGTGCTGGTGGGATGAGTGTTTCTAGTCACCTCATCTCCCCCCTTAGTAAAGGATTGTTTCACCGTGCAATAGCACAGAGTGGATCTGCTGTAGGTCCATTTTCATGTGTAAAGGTGACAAATACYGATGCRCTGGAGGTTTTTAGCAAGRTACTAAAGTGTGATGGCAAAGACCATGAAAACCAAATGGAGTGCTTCAGAGAGAAAAGGTATACTTTTATTTGAGGCATTGAAATTTTGGAATTTAACCGCTAATACAGTTCCCAATAACTCCCAGGTTTGAATGATCTTTGGTTTTTGTTATTCAAAAAACACCTGGGATAAGTTTCAAACGTCATATGAGTTTCATTGTTTTAACAATGAGGAGAAGATCGGACAAGACTTTTATAATGGAGCATACGTGGACATTTTAGGTTTGAATAGACGTTCGGTGTACCCCTTACTCGAAACGACTCAAATAAGTCAATTTGCGTAGAATAGTATATTTAGATAGCACGTTTAGGGCGGAAGTCTGCTAACATGATCTAGCTTGGATCAAAATATTCGATCAGGTGGATGAAATAAACAATGGGATCACTGACATGGGATCAAGGATTAAAGATATTTGGTATGCACTGACCACGTCACGACCCAGATGGTAGTTATAGTTGGTGTCCACTCCCAGCAGTGAATCAAATTATATTATTTTCCCAACCCAGAAATTGAACATTTGAATTTCTAACCAAAAAAAATAAGAAACTTATCAATGTCTGTCCAAATCATAATCGACATAATACTTAGCTTGAAAGTTTACACCCTATTCATAATCGTGTTTTCTTATAAAATTAAACAGCGTGGAAGATATTCTGGCTGCTCAAGCCAATGTCACGTTTCCAATGGCAACTACAGATCCGTTTCTGACAATTGTCACCGTTGATGGTGAGTTTCTCCCCGATGACCCAGAATCCCTCATGAAGGAAGGAAAGATAAACAAAGCTGATATCATTACTGGCGTGACTGCGCACGAAGGTAGCTACATGATATTTTTCATGGCGAGGGGTGTTAAAGAGTTCACTGCCGAGGCTTTCAAAACTGCTGTCAAGAATGAACTGTCGAATCTTGGAAAGCACACAAAGCTCGTTGAAGACGCAGTTGTTTTTGAGTAYCTTCCCCACGATGACTTAAACAATTTAGATATGCTTCGACAGGCAGCGATAGATGAAAGCACAGATCACATTTTCCTTGCACCTGCGGTCGTAGAAGCGAGGTTGTTTTCCAAAGCTGGTAACCGTGTTTWCATGTATGTCTTCGATCACAGTCCCCACCAACCAAGATTACCGAAATGGCTTGGCGCCCATCATGGCATTGACCTACCTTTTGTCTTTGGCCGACCATTATATAGAGATTCTCTGGAACATGGTATCGATTTTCTTCTTCCTGGCAATTACTCAGCTCTTGAGCAAGGATTTTCCAAATATGTCATGGA